AAGGGGGCAGGCCTTACAGAAGGATGATGCATTTTGGGAAAGCTGTAGGATGGTTGGATGTTCCAGGGTTTAGATGCTCCAGGCACTGATGAGACAACCTGGTTTGGAAGTCTGGGAGCCAGGAGCAGGGTGAGGAGAGGTCAGGTCCTACCTCTGACACATATTGGCTCTGTGACCCTTGGCAAGTCACTTAATTTTCCTCTACCTTGGGCAACTCTTAAACTATAGACACCTGTGGAGAAGGGACCCATCTGCATTGATAGGGGATATTTTTAACTGGGAACTCCCTGCACTGGTGAAATCTCAACTCTGCTTAGAAAGATAAAAGGACTCACAGGACTCTGGAGAGCTGAAAGTAGTAGCTGGCCAGTCAAAAAAGGCTGCTCTAAAGTGCTCTGAAAAATGTTCTTCCATTCCACCAGGAGAGATGTGATGCAGTAGGATGGCAAACCCTTTCTGCTGTTTTGTTGAGACCAAGGAGGTTCATAGGTCTACTAGAGCTGAATGGAAGGGTGGCCTGGGCAAATTATTTAACATCCATGCTTACCTGGGGCAGGAAGGTGATTTGAAACTAGGTCCTCTGGCACCAAAGAACTGCTTTTCCCTCAAAGCCCTGCTCTCAGTGGTGGGCTGTGTTAGGACTGAGGCTGGGTGAGCCAAGAGAGCCATCAGAGATTGAAGGCTCCAGCTTCTCATTTTTCCTGACCAGAAACAGGACTAGATTTTGCTCAGTATAGCATCATCTAGTCTCATGGAAAGAGCATTCACTGAGTCAGGAACCTAGCCCTGTCTCCACCACTCAAGTCCATAATGTGACCTGGGGCAACTTATTTTAATCTTTCTGCACCTCAGGTACTTGCATCTGTAACATGAAGGGGCTGGTTCCTTCTGACTCTCATGCTCTATGAACTTGACATTGAGGGAATGTAACAGAACAGTTAAAATCTGCTGTGTGCAATGCAGCACTGTATTTGGTGCTGTGAGGGTACCAAAAATTATAAGACACCCCTGCTTCTCTTTGCCTCTCTTGACAGCTGATTTCCCAGTAGCAAATCCAGGATACTCACACTAGCCTGAAATTTCCCTCACTGCACAGTAAAGGTAGGGCTGGACAACTTCCACAAAGCACATCAGGAAAATTTCCCTATTAGGAGACCAGAGTTCAGATTTCTACAGTGCTTTCCACTTTACAAAGTGCTTTTTTCCCACCCTTGAGATACCTCTCAAGTTGTTCAAGTATTATTAATTCCATTTTACAGATGAGAAAATGGAGGCTCAGAGATTTCAACTTATTTACCCAATGAGTGGAACTCTGAAATCAGTGGTCTTTCTAGTGTACCACACTTCTAAAGGGCTGCATGTCATTCTTACTTACTCTCCCCCTGGAAAAATGAAAGGAAAAGTGCTGCTTAGTTCATGGTGGAGATTTCTATACTCCTCCATACATTACCAAATATTTCATATGTGTAGCTTTTGTGGATTCTTATCTCAATCTTTAAAGTAGTTGGTGCAAGTCTTACCATCCCTGTTTTTTTATGGAAGACAAAACTCAGGCCATAAAAATAAAGTGACTTGCCCAAGGTCACCCAGTTAAATTCAAATAGACATTTATTAAGTGTAGGGCACTATGATAGATGCTGGGGTTAGACAGAAAAATGGCTATGAAACAGAACACATCTTCAAGGAACTCATAGTCTAATAGGGCATCAAGGAAAACTTACTTCATTGAAAGACAGCATAAGAGTTGGACCTTGAAGGGAGGGAGATAATTTATTAGAGGGAGTTGGAGATGGGTTAGTCTTCTGCAGGCAGTGATGGGCAGGGCAAAGTAGTTCAAGGACAAGAAGGGAAACATAGAGCAGTGCCAGTGGCAGAGCCCAAATTTGAACCTGTGCCCTCTGATTCTGAGACTGATGAATGTTCTTTTCACTATGTACACCACATTGTCCCTGGGCAAATAGCTGAGTATCCCCTCTGGGATAGCCTGACTGTGCTACAGGTAGGGAGAGGAAGAAGATAATAATTCAAAGTTTGGAGAATAACAGGATAGGGACTATCCTGGGATTTCATAAGTATAGGGAAATCCAAAGTGAGGAAACTTCCTTTACTAATGCAGGGCAGCACCTTCTCTACAGTTTATATAGCCTCTGACAGTTGCCCAGAGCAGAGGTGTGTCAAATTTGCCACCCTTGGGATGCAAACAGCCAGCAAAACTCCAAAGTGAGCAGTCTGATCTGGATTAAAATGTAATTTGGAAATATTGAACAAATTAGATAAAATCACAATACAATATAGATAATGTTAATTTGTAGTTTTCTATGTCAATATGTGACCCTCAGGGATCTTTTTGCGTGTAACACTGGAGCAGGATAGGGGTGGGGTGGGGCAATTAAATGACTTAGTGGTCACACAGAACTAATATGTATCTGAGGTGTGACTTCCAGGTTTTCTATCCGTTATACTATGCTGCTTCTCTTGAATCATAAATTACATTTATATGCACTTTTAAGACATGCAAAGTACTTTGCTTAAACAATCATAGGAAGGAGGGTGGGTATTATTTCTATTTTACTGATGAAGAGACAGGTTCTTCGATGTCAAATGACTTGCCCATAGTCACACAGCTAGTAAGTAACAAAGCCGTGAGTTAAACCCAGGTCTCTCAAAATCCAGTATTTTTTGTTTTTCGCAGTATACCCTGAAACTCTGTTTTGGATTAGGCTGACCCTGTTTGGAGTAAATGATAAGGAATCAAAGCTTTAAGAAGCATGGTGTTTCATGGAGCTGAACTGTAAGACCAGTTTGGAAAGTATCTGGGGGCTGAGGGCCAGGAAAACACTAGGGAATCCAGTAGGCTAAGGAGACAGCAAAAGAGACATCAGAGCAGTATAGTGGTTGGAGCACTGGACTTGGACTCAGGAGGTGCAGATTAGTGTGACCCTGTGCAAGTCATTTAATTTCCTTGGATCTCGGTTTCCTCATCTATAATGTGAAAGGAAGGAAAATAATAAGCATTCATGCTAAAATATCTCATTTGACCTTTACAATAAGGCACTTCCAGGTGTATGCTATTATTATCTTCATTTTACATATGAGGAAACTGAGGCTGAGAGAGGTTAAATAACTTGTCCAGGATCACACAGCTGTAAGAGTCCCATTTGAACACTAGTCTTCCTGACTCCAGGCCCAGCTATTTAGTGCCCACAATGGGCCAGCCACTGTGCTAAGTGCTTTACCATTTCTATCTCACTGGATCCTCACACAAATCCTATGAGGTAGTGCTAATATTATACCCCCACTTTACAGATGAGGAAACCAGGCAAGCAGAGGTTAAGTGCCTTGCCCAGGGTCACACAGCTAGTGTTTGAGGTCACATTTGAAATCAGGTCTTCCTGACTATAAACCCAGCGCTACATCCACTGAACCACCAGCTGTTTCTTGTATGAGGAGGTCGAACTTGACTTAAGGTCCCTTCTTCCTCTACAGTCATCATTTTACGATTAGCTTCCTAGACTCCTCTCCAGGACAGGGCAGGTGCAAGGCAGAAGAGTGCAATGGAAAGCTCAATAGTCAACTGTCAGTCAACAAACATTTATTAAGTGCCTATGTGTTAGGCATTGTACAAAACTCTGGATTTAGGGATCCTCATGAATTATCCACGTGCCAATTCAGATGAGACTATCACTGTGCCATCGACCTAGCTTAAAGCGGCGTGAAACACGCACAATCACACATACAATCTTTCCTCCCCACCTACTTAAGACCCACGTAGTTAGAGTCCCCGCCCAGGGAGCTCATTCTTCGCTCTTAACCCACCTCCCCTTCGCTGTGCTGCCTCTGCGGCCGCACACCGCACACCAACGTGCTCCTGGCAACACCTCCTCGAGTTTAGTCTTAAACTGGCGGTGAGTGCAGCTGCGGCAGCGGTGGCGGCGGTGCCGCACCTCCGGCGACTAAAGTGGCTGCTGTCTCTCCCCGCCCGCCCTAAGGGAGGGAGTGTGCGGCGGAGGTGCGGGGTGGGGCACGGGGTAGGAGGGGATCCCGGGACATCCTCCTTCTTCTCTCTGGTAACCACGGCGGCGGGAGCAGCCGCAGGTGGAACTGGACTCGTTCTGTTCTCCATCGCGGCCTCCGGGGACTGAGCTTTGATGATCCGAGGTTTGGTGGGTCGGAGCTTGCTTATTCCCGCTTCTGTCTCCAACCTCCCGGGGATCCCACTCGGATTTCAGAGGACTGTCCGGGATTGGGTGCCTCCAGAGTGCACAGCATCCAAGAAGAGGGAGCTGCGGCGGGAGGGCTGAGCTCTTAAGAGCACGCGGTTGTTTTCGTTTCTCCTTTCTACGACCCAGAAGACCTCCTCTCCTGGGGAAGAACGTGTGGCAGGTCCTGAGACAGTGGATCCTTTAACCGTGTGGAGCTGGAGCGAGCAGTGCTGGGCACCGCGCTGGACGCTTCTCGAGTGCGCCTCGGAGGTGCCAAAGCTGTGCAGAGTTCCTGGGCGCACCTCTCCTCCTTGGATTAAGTCGGGGTGAAGACAGGCTTTCTCCGGGATCACATTCCCTTTGTTTTCCTGGGGGTTTCTCCCTGCTTTTCTGTCCGAGAAGTGTTATTTCTTGGCACTGCTCCCCCCTTTCCCGGGACTCTCTCATTCACTGCTCACAGGAGTGAACCTGGCCCCTCTAATCCTTGCCACCCCGGTTTCTCCTAGGATTTGAAAAAGGTTCCCTTCCGGGGCTCTTAGACCTGAAGCTTCTTTCACTGCCTTACATTTTTAGGTTCGGAGTCTATTCCTTAGAGCCTGGGGGAGCCCCTGTATCCTTGCCCCCCCCCCCATTGATTTCCATTCTTTCCCCAATTGATGTGCCTGCTTGTTCCAATGAGCATTGAGAGAGAGTGAAAGCTTGGTTCCCTACCTTACCGCTTTGGGAGAGATTTTGAGAGAGAAGGACTTGGGGCTCTGGTGGGCTTTCTGTGTGCTTGCAAAAGAGGAGCACCTCTACCAGGTGGTCTCTTCGCCATGGCCTTCACTTTCGCTGCTTTTTGCTACATGCTGTCTCTGGTCCTGTGCGCGGCGCTCATCTTCTTCGCCATCTGGCACGTGAGTACCCGGTAGCAGTTTCTAACTCTTGTCTCGGGCCGGGGACTCATTCTCACATGTCTCCCTTAACCTTTCCCACTGCCCTATAATAATGCCCTACCCTCCCTGAGTTTTTGCAAACACAGGGTGGAGGGTGGTGCCCGGAGGTTAGCCACTCCACTGCTTCTCGCTACTGACGCCTTCGTAGCAGTCAATAACCAGTCGTGGGTGTTGGCAGGTACGGGAATTGACGCCACCTGAGACACTGGCTCAGCTGGGAAAGGCAGGGGGAGTCCTACTCGCCTTGCCAAGGCTCTGGAGCTTCCTGGGGGCACCGTCCACGCAAACTTTCCTGGGCTGGTCAGTGAGGTTGGTCGTGTCTCCCAGGGCCTGCGGAAGTGCTACTGTCCGCTTCTCTTCCCCTTTATCGTGTGTGTGTGTGTGTGTGTGTGTGTGTGTGTGTGTCGGTAGAGAAGTTGGGCAGAAGAAGCGTCACCGCCGGGCCCGGCAATTAGTCAAGTAACTATAACAACTAAACATTTAAAATGTCAGCATCTGTGGTGGGTTGCATTTAGACATAATTGGAGACAGTGAAAAGCGGTGAAGGGAGAGGTTGGCAGGAAGAAGCAGAGAGATGAAGGGAGAAGGAGAAGGGAAAACCAGAAAAGGAGAAAGGCAGATCGATTCACGGCAATGAGGGAGAAGATTGAAAAGCGGGAGTTAGAAAAACGAGGTGGAGGGGGAAGGGGAGAAATGGTAGAAGGGTATAGAGAAACAGGAGAGACAAAAGGGAATCTAGGAAGAGGTAAAGGAGAGGGGGCCAGAGAAAAACAGAAGAGGAGGAGAGATTATTTCCTTCCTGTTGGGAGGAACCTTTTGACTGCTAGAGCCTAAAATCCTTCCCAGATTGCTTCTGGGGTCGAAACCATGCCCCAGCCTCAGACCTGCTGGGCTGCTGACCCTTGGAAGCATTCAACATCTTTTCCATCTCCCTCCCGGAGGTGTGCCGGGGAAGCCAGCCCAGCTCAGATTTCCCTGCCTCTGCTCCCGGGGTTTCCTCCCTTCCTGGATGAGCAAGTCAAGGGGTTGGCTCCAGGAGGGAGTCCCGGGGATCAAATAGACAGAACCATTTAAATCGGTCCTTTGATGGTGTAAAGCTGGAGGCGGAAGGAGAGGGAGATTGGTGGTGAAAACGAGCAAGCACTGAGAAGAAACCCCATGGAAAGAGCTCTCTCTTCATATATGACTACAGGTTTCAGTGAATAAGCTCCAGGCTCAGAGAGAGGAGACAGAATTGAAACCCTGACCTTGAGCTCTAACCCTGCTCTCTTTGTTCCAGGGGCCTTGCCAATAAACTGAAACTCCCTGGGTTTTCATTTCCTTGTCAGCAAAATAGGACTCAATGTTTCTGCATTAGTGATAGGAAACAGCAAAAACCCAGAGGATTGCATGCTAACAACATCAGTCAGTATGAGTGACAACAGTGATGTATACAGGGAGGAAAATGGGCCATCCTGGTCCCAAGGAGAACAGATGTTGGGAACCTTTCACCATCTTCTTGTACCCCTGAGCTGTGAGGCGCAGCTGTCCCAGAAAAATGGTTAGAATTTCCTTTGAGGAGGTGACCCCAGAGGACAGAACTAAGAGCACTGGGGGAAGGTGCAGAGAAGTCAATATTAATTTATGGAAAAAAATAACCAAAGATCAGAACTATGGTTGAGTGGAGTGAACTGCTTTGAAAAGTAACGAGTTTGCCATTACTGGAGGTCTTCAAACAAACTGGGCTACTACTTGTCCAGATTGTAGAGAGGATTCCTGTTAAGGGTTGAATTACATGACCTCTAAGGTTCCTTTCAGCTGTGATTCTGTGTCTTGTCTTACCAAGGGGATGAACCCTGGGAAACAAGTTCACTGTGTTGTATGGTTGTGGCATGTTTTACTGCAAGCAGAGATGGAGGCTCAAGGAAAATTGTGGGGTGGGTGAGATGCTGGGTGTTTTGTATAAGTGGTTTCTAGAGTGTGTGAGAGAAAGGGAGCTTCTCTTAAAAATAGAACTAAAGATCACAGAGTTCAGCTACAGCAGTTTCTACTAGGGGACTGTGAACAGGAAGGGTATGGAAAGAGATGCTCTTGGCAGAAGGAGGATGTGAAGCATTGAGGTGGGCAGGAGCAATCTGGGATAAGGAAATTTGCATATGACAGATATCTGGGGATTGGTAAAGCAAGTTGCTGAGAGGGAGGCAAAGAAAGGTTTCAGGCCCAGGAGCACCTGAATTGTCAGAAGTCTGGTGGGCAAAGGATCATAGATCTAAAATTAGTGAGTACCCTTGGAAACCATTTAGTTAAACCTCCCAATTATCTTACAAATAAGGAAGTTGAGGGCCAGGGAAATTAAGTGGTCTGACCCAAGTCACATAAATGTATCAAGGGAAGAAGATAAATCCAATTCCTCTATTTTCTTTCCACTGCACTACCTCAGATCAGAGTTGAAAGTTAAGGACGTCTTTTGACGGGCATAGAATCAGAGATCTAGAGTTAAAAGGAATCTCTCAGAAGCCATTTCTCCTAATTCCTTTCTTTTACAGAGGAAGAAATAAGGCTTAGAGAGTTTAACTAAGTTGTCCAGGGTCACACAGGTAGTAAAGTAGCAGAACTAAAATGTTAACTGAGGTAGGCAGACGGTAAACATTTATTGAGCACTTACTAGAGTCAGGCATTGTGCTAAGTGCCAGGGATACAAAAGAAAGACAAAAATCAGTCTCTACTCTCAAGGAGCTCACAGTCTAATAAGGGAGACAGCTTGCAAACAACTAAATTCATAGTTACAAGATAAATGCAGTATAAGCAGAAGGTAAGGTAGAAGATAGTTTATCCTGGCTACCCTAAAGACCAAGTGACCCAATTTACAGAAAAGAGTTTCAAAGGGCTAATCAACAGGCGCTCTCTGACCTTATATTTGTTTACTTTACATTTTGCTGTTTTGATCCTTACCCAAAAGAAGCCTAGGCAGACATTATGATGTTTACTTTGAAAATTAGGAAACTGAGGCTCACAGAGATTAGGTGAGGTCTTCTGACTTCAAATCCTACATTCTTTTTATCATCTCATACTATCAGCAAGGGAAATTATGTAAACCAATGAGCCTTTTGCCAAGTGAATGTAGGCTGTTATTCTGGGGGATAAAACTGACTTATAGGCAATCAGGATTATAATGAGAGAAGATAATTTCACTGATCTTTTCACTCTGAGCTGAAAAGGGAACAGGATGGAGGGTGCCAGATAAATACAAAAATTCCTTGCTGATAACAAGTTTCAAAGGAATTCCTCCCCTCTTATGAATTATTGAAGTTGTTTTCTCGAAAAGGTTAAATATTCTTCTTATTTCAGGAAAAGAAGTTATTACTACTTTCCCTTTTCCTCATGTCCAGAAGGGGGCAGGTACTGAAGAAGACAGAGCTTTGAAATTTGCTGAACTTTCCATCTGAAGTAAAATAGATAACCAGAAAGATTCTTTTTCACCCACTCAGTAGGAAGATAATAAATAATTCAAAAATAGGTTAATTAAGTGGGTGGTTTGTGCAGTTAGTAAAGTAATAGAAGATTAAGTGTCACATTGAAATAAAAAGCTAGGCTTTTTGAGTTGCCATTGGGTTTGCCTCTCTATGAATTAGAGGGTCATAATTTAGACTGCCCTCCCTAGGGATTACTGAACACAATAGGACTTTCAAGTCTGTGACAAGTAGAGATTTATATTCCAGGGAGAATGGCTAGATTTGCATTTCTGGCTGCCGTTTCTATAGAAGAGAATTCAGTTGTCATTTTAATGTTCATATTACAAGGATACTTCTGGTACTCTTCTCCCAACTACGCCTTCTTTCTCTTGTTCCCCAAACCACCTTCTTTTGTTACTTAAAGATATTTGAAACACACTGAGTAAATTGCTGAATTGTGGGGGAAAAAATGAACTTCATTATCTGAGCTACAGTATATCAAAGTTGGTTCTGTGTTAGCATAATTTTTGACCTTTGACCCAGCACTGTGTTTGTCCTCTGAATTTCATAGATTCATAGACACTGAGACTTGGAAGAGACCTCACAGGGGATCAAGTTCAACTATCACCAGAAGCGATGACTCCTTTCTCCTAAATGTGTTGAACTTCTTAATTGCTTAGTAGTTATTGGATAACAATAGCTAACATTTGTATAGTGCTTTAAGTTTTGCAAAAACACTGTAAATATGTTGTATCATTAGATCCTGATAATCACCTTTTATTATCATCTCCATTTTGAAAACAAGCTGAAAGAGGTTAAGAGACCCGCTCATGGTCATACAACTAGCAGGATTTGATTGAATTCGGTTTTAACCTTACTTCTACTGTGCAACCAAGTTGTCTAAATATTGATCTTTATTTTTATTTATTTATTTTGTTTTTTGGGTTTTTTTTAGTGAGGCAATCAGGGTTAAGTGACTTGCCCAAGGTCACACAGCTAGTACATGTCAAGTGTTTGGTCTGAGGCCGGATTTGAACTCAGGTCCTCCTGACTTCAGGGCCAGTACTCTACCCACTGTGCCACCTAGTTGCCCTTAAGTATTGATCTTTAAATAAAGTATTAAGTGTTATACCTGCCATACAAAACCTAGGCCCTATTCTAGATGCATGTTTTTCCTAAATTTATATATTTACATGTTTATATAATTTATGTATTTCCTAGTATCACTCTACCTGTGGATTAACAGCTACCATTTTATCTTCAGACCATTTCATTTTAGAATTAAAAAATTTTTTGACCTGGAAGGGACCTTAGAAATCATCTACTTCAGCCCTCTAACTTTAATAGGTGAGGAAATTAAACAACAGAGAAGTGAAGGGGAAGGGAACAAGCATTTATTAAATACCTACTGTGTGCAGGGCACTGTGCTAAGCACTCACAGCAACCCTGGGAGGTAGGTGCTGTTGTTATCCTCAGTTGATAGTTGAGGAAACTGAGGCAGATAAAGATTAAGTGACTTGGCCAAAGGTC